TTAAATATCGCATGCGATTTATCGTGCAGCCCTAGTACTGAGTATTTATGCATTTTTGACCTAAATCACAGCAGCATCCATCTATGAGAAATGTCACTGTCAAACATACACAAGTGTTAGCCAATCATAGCAGTGGGTGTTTACTTCAAAGTCTACAATCCGCCACATCTATTCAAACAGAGCGTTCTGATAAGGCGAGTCAAAAACAGGACAGAAAATAGACTATTGCTTCTAAATTGTTTTTTGATGTTAAAATCTTAACATTAGAAGTGGACCTTAGAGAACAGTACAAAATAAAAAAAGGCAGTTCATGACCCCTTTAATGCCTTATTCAGCATAACCATATTTTAGATTCCTTAATCCTACCTCATACCTAAATTTAGCAACTGCTATTAATAAGCAGAGATTATAGCGCAAAAGTCATAGTTAATAGTGAGAATGGGTCTCCAAACTAAAGTGTGACCAAACATGAATGCTGCATTAAATTGATCACAAGTGACAGTAAAGACACATTTTATTCAAAGAGAATCCCGAATAACATGTATCATGATTTCCACAAAAATATGAAGCTGTATAATTGTGGTCAATATTGACAATGACAAATGTTTTTTGAGAACCAAATCAGCATATTGGAATGATTTCCGAATCATCATGTGACACTGAAGCGTGGAGTAATGTTCAGCTTTGCCATCACATGAATAAATTACATTTTAAAATATATTTTAAAAAAGGACTGTTATTTTAAGTTGAAATAACATTTAACAGTGTTATTGTTTTTAATGTTTTTTTTATTATTATTAAAATAAATGCAGTGCTGGTGAGCATAACATCAAAAACATTTTAAAAATCTTACTGAATCCAAACCTTTGAACAGTAGTGTACTTAGATTTACAAAAATAAAACATTTTGTTATCAAGCCATAGCCAATTTGGTAATTTATTTTGTGCTAAGAGTGTTAACTTCCCCCTGCAGCTTCCCCAGGACTTGTCTTTAAAAGCTTCACAAAGATCAGCATGTAATTCTGTGTTAAGGATCCCATCATCAGCTCAGTCCTCACCAAACACAGTATTCACATCAACAAAAATCAATTTCAAAGTGACCAGCTGCAGAGAGGACTCGCCCCTATTTGCATACAACACTCCTCCATGGTTCCCCTGCCTGTTTAATTTCCAAAAAGTCACAGACAAAGAACCCTCAAGCACTTCCCCCTCACCAGATCGCACCAGCAGCCCGACTTCTCAGGCAAGTGTGATCGCTAAAGCTGTGGACCTCTCTGTTGCAAAGCACAAAATTGGGTTTCTCCTATTGAGATTTTCATTCTTCATGTCATTTGTTTTGTCTATGATTTCATTTGTATTATACAAGGCTAAAGGTGTACAATTTCATGTTATTAATTGTGCTATATTCCTGACAAAACTTTGTACACCTATAACAAGCTTATTATAATACTCCTTGCTCAATTCCAAGTATGTTTCACTGAATTGAGAACCTATAACAACACTGTAGCACAGCTGATCTAAAACATCTCAATCAGATGTAACTTCAAATTCTGTATACACAGATGTCTTAAAAGAATAGTTCACCCAAAAATGAACATAAACAAACAAAAAATGACTCTCCCTCAAGCCATCCAAGATGTAGATAAGTTTGTATCTCCAATAGCGCTTTCTCAGTAAAAAAGTCCATCCCGTTGCCCTTCGTTTGTAAACAGTGCTTGATCTGTGCGTATTTCTGATTCCTGATTCAGATGAGACATCCTCACTGGAGAAAGCAATATTATGGACAGATGACTCGTATTTTAACTGGATACAACGGTTTAAAGTTAAAAACTGAATTGGGAGAGAAATGTGCACAGGTCAAGCACCATTAACAAGCAAAAAGTGTCAAAAACGGTTCTAAACGCACGTCACAGTGTATTTTGATGTGAGAGGACAACAGGGGATGGACGTTTTCACCCGAAGAAGCATTATTATTAATTATTGCCAGAAGCGGCGGTTTGAAGTTAAAACACCTTAATGATGGATTTGTTTATTACAAAAAAGCAGATTTTCTCTTTACAAGACATTAATCGATAGACTGGACTATTCATAAAAGAGGATCCATTGGTGATCAAGTGATGTGCTTTCTCCAAATCTGTTCCGATGAATAAAAAAAAAGACATCTCCATCTTGGATGCCCTGAGAGCGACTACATTTTTAGCAAATTTTTGTGTGAACTATTTCTTTATTACAGTCAGTGCATTCTTTTGAAGTATGATTGTATATTGTTGCACTCCTAAATCACAGTTTTTTTTCTGTAGAGGTTATACATAGACCTGTGTACAGACTGGCTTTTACCAAAATGAAGAAGAAATTGTTTAGAAAACCACTAGTAACTGAGGTTGTAAAAGTAGGTCATCCCCTTACTTAATTTTAGGGGGTTTGAAATAGTGGGCAATCCAGACCACTAGTCTGGATGATGCGAAGAAAAACCGTTTACTTCTCAAAGTACGGCAAAAACATTAAATTGATCACAAATGACAGTAAAGACACATTTTATTCAAAGAGAATCCCGAATAACATGTATCATGATTTCCACAAAAATATGAAGCTGTATAATTGTGGTCAATATTGACAATGACAAATGTTTTTTGAGAACCAAATCAGCATATTGGAATGATTTCCGAATCATCATGTGACACTGAAGCGTGGAGTAATGTTCAGCTTTGCCATCACATGAATAAATTACATTTTAAAATATATTTTAAAAAAGGACTGTTATTTTAAGTTGAAATAACATTTAACAGTGTTATTGTTTTTAATGTTTTTTTTATTATTATTAAAATAAATGCAGTGCTGGTGAGCATAACATCAAAAACATTTTAAAAATCTTACTGAATCCAAACCTTTGAACAGTAGTGTACTTAGATTTACAAAAATAAAACATTTTGTTATCAAGCCATAGCCAATTTGGTAATTTATTTTGTGCTAAGAGTGTTAACTTCCCCCTGCAGCTTCCCCAGGACTTGTCTTTAAAAGCTTCACAAAGATCAGCATGTAATTCTGTGTTAAGGATCCCATCATCAGCTCAGTCCTCACCAAACACAGTATTCACATCAACAAAAATCAATTTCAAAGTGACCAGCTGCAGAGAGGACTCGCCCCTATTTGCATACAACACTCCTCCATGGTTCCCCTGCCTGTTTAATTTCCAAAAAGTCACAGACAAAGAACCCTCAAGCACTTCCCCCTCACCAGATCGCACCAGCAGCCCGACTTCTCAGGCAAGTGTGATCGCTAAAGCTGTGGACCTCTCTGTTGCAAAGCACAAAACACTACAGTGAAGATACTTTACATTTACAACCTGCTGCTGTCTAGCTGATATACCTACAACCCATTATTCAACATTAATCAAGTACTCTCAGGTACAAGATTTCCCTCAAATATTTTCTTGTATTCGTGTTCAGCTTTTAAAACCAAACCGAGTTCCATGCTATCTGAATCCGTTATACTATTATATTTCTGAAATATTTTGCAACACACTACCTCATTCTCATAACGGTGTTAAATATGTAACTTGTATAACTACCTCACGAATGTGACACTTGATCACAGAAGTTGTCAGTGTAAGCTAGTAATAATGCAGCATTGGGAGAATATGCTTGTATTGATTTTGCATTGGAGTGACATTTCATACTTGTTGACAGCAGATGTAATTAAACAAAGAATGAAATAGAAGCGTTACTGGGGAATTTTTAAGGGGAATTTGCATGTATATTTTTCTACAGGGTACTGTAGCACAATATTGAGAGTTTTCTTAAAGAAATGCTTAAGGTTTAGTACATTTTCATATGAAGTTGTCATGTCTGAATGCATTGATTTAGCAAATTTGACATGTTCGTCAATTCAGAACGACAGAATTATTGAACTGTCTGCCTGGAAACATTGTTTTACTTGAGGTTTAGCTCTCCCATGTCCGTAGGGCACTTAATACTTGAATATAGACTCACTAATTAGAGTTGTGTATTAACTTGTTTCAACGTAAGGAGATTTTTGCTTTAGTTTTTGTATTAACTTTTTATGCAACAGTCACTAATTTGCATAATGAACAACTGCAGCACAGAGATTTAAAAGCAAATATAAAAACAGGTTTATTGTAGTGTCATAATGATTTCAGAACGACAGAATTATTGAACTGTCTGCCTGGAAACATTGTTTTACTTGAGGTTTAGCTCTCCCATGTCCGTAGGGCACTTAATACTTGAATATAGACTCACTAATTAGAGTTGTGTATTAACTTGTTGTTTCAACGTAAGGAGATTTTTGCTTTAGTTTTTGTATTAACTTTTTATGCAACAGTCACTAATTTGCATAATGAACAACTGCAGCACAGAGATTTAAAAGCAAATATAAAAACAGGTTTATTGTAGTGTCATAATGATTAAAAAATTACACAATACAAAATCTTTTCAGTACTCATTTGTTTTTGTATAATGTACATTAAAACAGTGGTTCAAAGAGTTAGTAGTGGTACTAGTTAAAAAGATGAATGTGCAGTAGAAAAGCAAATCACTTGTTGCTGCATCTTACCTTGATTTTACAATAGAGGGATAAGTCAAAATGCTATACAACTCGGACTGTATGTCCTAAATGATAAATTGCATTCTTGGGTTTCTCCTATTGAGATTTTCATTCTTCATGTCATTTGTTTTGTCTATGATTTCATTTGTATTATACAAGGCTAAAGGTGTACAATTTCATGTTATTAATTGTGCTATATTCCTGACAAAACTTTGTACACCTATAACAAGCTTATTATAATACTCCTTGCTCAATTCCAAGTATGTTTCACTGAATTGAGAACCTATAACAACACTGTAGCACAGCTGATCTAAAACATCTCAATCAGATGTAACTTCAAATTCTGTATACACAGATGTCTTAAAAGAATAGTTCACCCAAAAATGAACATAAACAAACAAAAAATGACTCTCCCTCAAGCCATCCAAGATGTAGATAAGTTTGTATCTCCAATAGCGCTTTCTCAGTAAAAAAGTCCATCCCGTTGCCCTTCGTTTGTAAACAGTGCTTGATCTGTGCGTATTTCTGATTCCTGATTCAGATGAGACATCCTCACTGGAGAAAGCAATATTATGGACAGATGACTCGTATTTTAACTGGATACAACGGTTTAAAGTTAAAAACTGAATTGGGAGAGAAATGTGCACAGGTCAAGCACCATTAACAAGCAAAAAGTGTCAAAAACGGTTCTAAACGCACGTCACAGTGGATTTTGATGTGAGAGGACAACAGGGGATGGACGTTTTCACCCGAAGAAGCATTATTATGAATTATTGCCAGAAGCGGCGGTTTGAAGTTAAAACACCTTAATGATGGATTTGTTTATTACAAAAAAGCAGATTTTCTCTTTACAAGACATTAATCGATAGACTGGACTATTCATAAAAGAGGATCCATTGGTGATCAAGTGATGTGCTTTCTCCAAATCTGTTCCGATGAATAAAAAAAAAGACATCTCCATCTTGGATGCCCTGAGAGCGACTACATTTTTAGCAAATTTTTGTGTGAACTATTTCTTTATTACAGTCAGTGCATTCTTTTGAAGTATGATTGTATATTGTTGCACTCCTAAATCACAGTTTTTTTTCTGTAGAGGTTATACTTAGACCTGTGTACAGACTGGCTTTTACCAAAATGAAGAAGAAATTGTTTAGAAAACCACTAGTAACTGAGGTTGTAAAAGTAGGTCATCCCCTTACTTAATTTTAGGGCCTTTGAAATAGTGGGCAATCCAGACCACTAGTCTGGATGATGCGAAGAAAAACCGTTTACTTCTCAAAGTACGGCAAATAAAAGAACTTGAATCCTCTTCGTCCCCGAACTGCACAGCTTATATAGATCACGTGATAGACTGAAACAAAAAAGGGAAGAGCAAGAGTTATTTTGCTGTTTATCTCTAGCGGTTTTCTTTAAGCAATGCTGTCTGTTGAAGCCATGTTCTTCCATTGCATGGATTACACTATGACAACTTCACAATTCATAAAACTATATTATCTAAGGTCCAAAATCCACTACTGATATTCACACTGGGAAAGCTGACTCTATAAAAAAAAGCTTATATTAATTACACATTAGATCTTACCACCAGGAATGAAGAGAAGAAATCCAGGCACAAAGAAAATTGCACTTGAAACACCTAAAAAAAAAGGCATAAATACATGGGTTACATAATTCTGCTGGACAAAACTGACATAAAACGAACTGGTGATTTAGATTATGTCAGAAGGTGGTGTTATTTTTGTTTTGAGGCATTCAGAGCACTGATTTAAGTGATTATATCACTTATAATTAGCTGTACAAGTTTGTGTGCTAAAGCAATCCTGCTCACATCTCATAGTTATTTACAATCAATGCCAACGTGACAGGTCTTACCTGCGTGAGGGTTTAACTGTATGACAATGCCTGTAAAGATCAAAGCTGATAGGCAGGAGGAACAGGGAGGGGGAAGATAGGAAGGGGAGAGATAATACGTTAACTAAAGAGCTGACAGTACATTTGAATTTACCATCTATGCTCAAGATCAGAGTTGACAGCAAGATAAACAAAGACAGCGCTTTACAAGTCAAACAGAAACATCAGTTCCCAGACACCTTCCCCCTGAGATCTGTAGTACTTATTATGATCAAAAACATCACAAAAGGTATGAAAGTCTCACCAACTCCAGTGATTAAGAGGAGGAATGAGGCAAGAACGACTCGTCTGTTCTTCTTCACCAGCGGGTGAGACGTCCACCTGGGAACAATCCACAGAGAACACAAAATGAGGAAAGGAAAAACTATTTTAATTTAGCCGACCAGAGTGATTTTAGTTAATATCAGCTTAAAATCTCATCCGGAAATCTGTAAACAGAGGTGTGTTACCCGCAGCAGTGAGCAGACAGCTGTGTGACTGAGCTGAGTGTGCTGAATGACCACTGAGAGCTGCAGTAGGACAGAGTAGCAGGATCACTGGAACACAGACAGACACAAGGCTTGACATCAGGCTTTGTACTTGTACATCAAAAAAAGCGAAGCGAAATTTTTTATTTCTTTTAGTTGGCTATTTAATGGCTTGTTTGTTTGGCAGTTGGTCACTTGTTGTCTAATAAACAATTAAAATGCTGAACTAGCAATTTAAAAATATCCTAGGTGTATAAAAAATAGTAAAAAGAAACAAACCGTTGTTATTTACACCATTTAAAATCTGCAATTTCTAACAACTGACAACTAGATTTTACCACAGCAGCTACACGGATCAAAACTGGAATTTTTACCAATGATTAACTGGGATAAACTTGCAGTTTAAATTTCTACAATTGGAAATATATAATTTAAATAATTTAAAACTACTACTGCTACTGAAAACTATGAGAGGCCGTACAAGCCATAATTCATTCTGGCACTCTCACATACTTACATTCTCCTTTCACATACATATATTTCTGCTTTCACACACATACATTCTCCTTTCACATACATGCATTTCTACTGTCACACACTTACTTTCTTCTTTCACATACATGCATTTCTACTGTCACACGCTTACTTTCTTCTTTCACATACATGCATTTCTACTGTCACACACTTACTTTCTTCTTTCACATACATGCATTTCTACTGTCACACGCTTACTTTCTTTCTTCACATACATGCATTTCTACTGTCACACACTTACATTCTCCTTTCACATACATACATTTCTGCTTTCACACACATACATTCTCCTTTCACATACGTGCATTTCTACTCTCTCTCACACACATACATTCTCCTTTCACACACATACATTTCTACCTTTTTTTTGGTATCCATTACTTCCTGTTAAAGCAGACCAGGAAATACATGTGCAAGACTTGCTCAGCTCTTCCTCACAATTTTACAATGATGCTATTCAAAGACATCCTGTTTTCTTTTCAAGTACATATTTTAAGTTTTTAATTTTAAAATATCATTATTTTGCTCTGTTACTGGCCAAACTAACCTATGCAACATGAAGCAACTGCACAAAACAAAAACATCAGTCGGGCTGAATGAATATTTTATTATTACTCTTTATTTTTATTAGTGTTTTATTACCTTAATTATATGTATGTCTGCACTATGTCTGTAGGCTACTTTCTGTACTGGAAGCTCCTGACACCAAGACGAATTCCTTGTGTGTGTAAACACACTTGGCAATAAAGCTCTTTCTGATTCTGACAGTCAGTTCTCAGAAATGCATCCATATTAACCCCCACACTAATTCCATAATTATGGTCTTCTTTCAGTATTTCGAGCATCGCAAACAATGAATTCTGTCTGGTACAGTCATTTCTCTGCTTGCGCGACTATTCTCTCCTCTTTGTGTACGTCTTCAGTGCATCTGTCTTACAGATAGTATATCATGATGATCACTACGTTTGTGTTACCGAATTGCATCCTGTGAGGAATAACCTGCCCGCGCTGTTTTTAACCTACCTACCCCTTTATTCACTTCCTAAATTAAGTGGGAAACAAAAAAATCCATAGACGCTTATAATACGCGTATCTGGCTACACGACTGAGGCTGAGCCTCAATCACAACTCGCTCAAGGAACGAGGCCATGTAACCTTTTCACGATGATAATATATATATTTTTTAAACCCAAATAGCTTGCTGAAATACTTCTAGGACTCCGAAATACTAATAAACACTTCCTCATCTACCTCAGCCAGGCTGCCCAGGACCTGTCCCTCAGTGCATCTGTCTTACAGATAGTATATCATGATGATCACTACGTTTGTGTTACCGAATTGCATCCTGTGAGGAATAACCTGCCCGCGCTGTTTTTAACCTGGCCGTTTTTAATTACTGTCAGTTTAAATGCCGGCGTTGCCAGATATTGAAAATCAAACAAAACAATCTAAAAATAAAAACCCGCAATGAGTCCAAATCTTGAGTTATGGAAATAATATAAAGATATCGGTCATAGAAAACATAAGGTGAACTACTAATATATATATTTGAAGTAAAGTAGTTCACCTTGTGTTTTCAGTAGCAGTAGTAGTTTTAAATTTATTGTCATATCAGGATCACAGGCTATTTCATGGCACATACAGATTATGCATCCAG